TTTCAGTTTGAACCCACAACACCTTAAAGGAACACTGCAGTCACCAAACAACTTTAGCTGAATAAAGTAGTTTTGGTATAGTTCATGCCCCTGCAGTCTCACTGCTCAATTCTCTACCATTTAGGAGTTAAATTATTTGGTTTAGACAGCCCTAGGCACATCTCCCTGTAGGTGACTAGCACAGCCTTCCAAAACACTTCCTGTAAAGAGTTAACTAATGTTTACATTTACTTCATTGCAAATTCTGTTTAATTTAGAATTTATTTTTTATTGCTCTGTTAATGTTACATTCACAAACTAGGAGATACAACGTTTTAAAATAAGTTACATCTGAGTGAAAATAAAACCATTTCTTTTATTGAGCCAGGGCAGGCATAACTAGGGCTGCATAAACAGAAGCAACTCTTAAATGGCAGAGAATTGAGCAGTCAGTCTACAGAGGCATGTTATATACACCATAACTGCTTCATTAAGCTAAAGTTGTATTGGTGTCCCTTTAATGTAAGCATTCTGATTATAGCTTTTATCTGTAAATAAAAACAGTGTGACACTATTTGCCCCCACCCACCCCCCCGGGTTTTCTCCTTTTATTTAATCTTGTTGCTGCAGTTGCTACAGAAAGACCTACACGTAGATTATTTTCTCCCTACAAATCTCTTCAAACCAGAGCCGAGCTATGTAGTCTCTGGTTTATGTTGGTGCACCATTGAGTGTGGTTGACATAGCAGTTCTTTTTATTAAAGCAGTATTTAAGCAGCATGTACTCTCCATAAGGAAATACCTTGTTATACAAGTATTATTTTATGGGTTTTATGCACAAAACTGTACGCACTTTATTAATTAACAAAACACTTTGTTGTACAAATGTATTTTTTGCACTTTATGTATTGAACTTTTTAATTATTCATTTAGAATGTGTTTATTTTTATAAGGTTTCTAGCACAGCATTAATTATGGTTTATGATAAGTAAAAACTTGTTTAATTTTATGTATGTTACCTGAGGAATTAGAGCTAATATTATTTTATTTTGTTACATTCATATTCTATATACATACCCCACATTTATGAGATACAATTCTATCATTAAATACATTCAGTTTAGATATTGGAGGATCATAACTTCTCATTAAAATGTTTTTTTTATTTTTTTTATTTTTTTTATTTCAGGCATTATTAAAAATAACCCTAGGTTTATCTGGTAGGCGTTCCCCCAAGACTTGACCTTCCTTTAAATAATACCATTGTTTTTAACATTATTCCTATTTGCTTTTCATTATAATAAAAGATTAAAAGACAATCTATCTCATGTGAGGAAGGCTGAACTTGATGGACGCAAGTCTTTTTTCAGCTATGTAACTATGTAATATGTACTCTCCCTCTTCTGTTGGTTTAGGTTTTACTAGTACTGTTCTATCTTCTACATCATATCCTTTTTGTAAAATTTGATTCACAAGACTAAAAGCATATTCTTCAATTTGTGCCATATCACTCCAATTTTCTTAGTATTTTAAATGGTCTATAAATTATATTAAATTGTATGATCCTAAGACCCCTTCTAACTCATAAAACAGTTGTCTATAAAGCAATGTAGAGACAAAACATTTTATTTGAGAGGAAATATGTTAAAAGACCACTTTGGGAACCATAACAACTTTATCTAAATTAAGTTGTTATGGTGCCAGGTGCTCCCAGGTACCTGGGCAAAGTCAGCGAATTTATCTTCATAAAGCGTTTTGGTTGTTATGGTTAGGCTAAGTGCATTGATGTTATATACTGGACTGTTTACCTGCACCAAGTCTTCCGCATTTAAGAGCACCTTTGCTGGTATATGTACATGACGAGGGAGCATAATCATCTGAAGTGATAACAGCCAGAACAGAGTGTTCTTTTATGTGACTTCTGACAGTTTCTTGTGTCATATATATATATATATATATATATATATATATATATATCTATATGTACAATTATTTTATTGCCAAGTTTTATGTTTGTCTTAAATAAAACTTATTAACACTACACCTCCGCCCTTCTCATATGGTTACTTTTGAGGCACACTGGAGGTTGAGGAAGTTTGGCCCAGTGGAATAGGAATGGAGTATTATTGTTCAACACTCTATAGTAACAGTGTGAATTACTTTATATGGTGACTTTTTAGTACTATACTGCATATACAGATACACACAAATAGATCAGCGCTAATATATTAATGGATAGGCAGCAACCACAACAAAGGGGTTCCCTCTTGCCCTTTGAAAAAAGCCAATGTATAAAATTCAGTATGGGCTGCGCCACAGGAGATAATAGGATATAAAAATTAGAAATATGTATAAAAAGAAAGTCCAGATATATAGAGAGAAAAAAAACTTTATATTCACACCAATGGTGTCTTTGGGATATGTTCGGGACTATGGGTTATATATATATATATATATATATGGAGAGAAGAAGCGGAAAAGACCCAATAGTGCAATATATATAGTATAACGTGGTTACAGTAGAATAGCAATAACATACTCGCAATATACCGAGCTCTAGCTAGCTCTAGCATCAAGCGCTTGTAGTGGTACAATCCCCACTTTGGGATATAATGTGAGTATCCTCAGTCTTGGGAGCTCAGCGACAACTTGGGGTTAAATGACAATAAGTGGTAGGGAGGCGTCAATAGTGCTCTCAGTAGATAAAAACAGTGTGATAAGAATATAATAAAATATGTTCACAAAGTAAAGAGCAGGCCAACTGCTCTATGGTATCAGCTTTGGTGGTATGATCCACACTTCGGATTTCTTTGGAGTGATGATATAAAAACAGGAAAAGGCTCTTCCGCCTGTTTGTCTGCTGTGTGGCAGGCAGTCCGCTCAACGTTTTCCAGTCCCGTGAGAAGCATTCACGACATCCGCCAAAATAGTGAAGTTCACGGTAGACCAGATTCGCAACATCATGGACAAGAAGGCGAACATTCGCAATATGTCAGTCATTGCCCATGTGGACTATGGCAAGTCCACTCTGACTGACTCTCTTGTATGTAAAGCTGGAATCATCGCATCATCTCGTGCGGGTGAAACTCGCTTCACGGATACCCGTAAAGATGGGCAGGAAAGATGTATTACAATCAAATCTACAGCAATTTCCCTCTTCTATGAACGATCTGAGAATGATTTGGCCTTTACTAAGCATGGTAAAGATGGATCTGGTTTCCTTATCAACTTGATTGACTCTCCTGGCCACGTGGACTTTTCCTCTGAAGTTACGGTAGCTCTGCGTGTTACTGACGGTGCCCTTGTTGTGGTGGGCTGCGTGTATGGTGTATGTGTGCAGACTGAAACCGTAATCCATCAAGCAATTGCTGTAAGAATCCGCCCTGTCTTGATGATGAACAAAATGGACTGTGCACTTTTGGAACTGCAACTAGAGCCAGAAGAGCTATATCAGACCTTCCAGCGTATTGTGGAGAATGTAAACGTTATCATATCCACCTATGGTGAGGGAGAGACAGGACCCATGGGAAACATCATGATTGATCCAGTTCTTGGTACTGTTGGCTTTGGTTCTGGACTCCATGGCTGGGCATTTACACTGAAACAATTTGCAGAGATGTATGTGCAAAAGTTTGCTGCAAAGGGTAATGGCAAGCTGACACCAGCTGAATATGCAAAAAAAGTGGAAGACATGATGAAGAAACTTTGGGGAGACAGGTATTTTGATCCTGCCAATGAAAGTTTAGCAATGCTGCATCAAATGCTGATGGAAAGAAGTTGCCTAGAACATTTTGCCAGCTTATCTTGGACCCAATATTCAAGGTTTTTAATGCTATCATGAACTTTAAGAAAGAGGAAACTGCTAAACTTATCAAGAAACTGGACATCAAGATGGACAGTGAAGACAAAGATAAAGAGGGAAAACAACTCTTAAAGGCTGTTATGAGACACTGGCTTTCTGCTGGAGAAGCTCTTCTGCAGATGATTACCATCCACCTACCATCACCAGTGACTGCTCAGAGGTACCGCTGTGAGCTGCTGTATGAAAGACCACCTGATGATGAAGCCGCTATGGGCATAAAAAACTGTGACCCCAAAGGTCCATTAATGATGTACATCTCAAAAATGGTGCCCACCACTGATAAGGGAAGGTTCTATGCTTTTGGAAGAGTCTTCTCTGGTGTTGTCTTCACTGGCCTCAAAGTCAGAATTATGCGACCAAATTATACTCAAGGAAAGAGAGAGGACCTTTACCTGAAGCCTATCCAGAGGGCCATCCCGATGATGGGGCGTTATGTGGAGCCAATTGAAGACATTCCATGTGGTAACATTGTGGGCTTGGTTGGTGTTGACCAGTTCCTGGTGAAAACTGGGACAATCACCACTTTCGAACATTCACACAACATGCGTGTTATGAAGTTCAGTGTCAGCCCTGTAGTGTGTGTGGCTGTAGAAGCAAGGAACCCTGCTGATCTTCCAAAACTTGTGGAGGGTCTCAAGCGTCTGGCTAAGTCGGACCCTATGGTGCAGTGCATCATTGAGGAATCTGGAGAACATATTGTAACGGATCACCTGGCACGCCGACTGGGTACCTCCGTTGAAGGATGCTCCTAGCGCTTCCTGAGGACTCCAAGCACTGCAGCAGACAACAAAACCACCGAACCGTAGGAGCATATGAATGCTCTCAAGCATATGAATGTTGTATACAGCCGAATAGGAAAAACCATGCGAATAGGTTTACACTCCTAGCAGTCAAACTGGAACAGCATACAATAAATCCTCCCCCGATAATGAGACGACACTTCACTTTGAGGGTTAAGCAGGAACTGACTGTACTGGCACATACAGCCTCTTTTATTCCCAATCCACAAACGTAGTACTGCCCACAGGGTTTTACAGAACAACCAATCAATCTGTACAATACACACAGACACTCCCACACAAAATCCTCCCCTCTGCCTGTGATACAATTACCTTACACAATGGGTAATCTAATTATCACAGACAGATAAATACAGTTTCATAAAACACATCACAGGGACCCCAAAACATGCAATAACCCCATAAAGTATATCCTTGGAACCGGGGGATCTGGGTGAACCACATATCCAAAATTCATCCAGATCCGTTCAGTACTTTGGAAGATACAGTTTAAGCACCGTGTTGAAAAGTCCAAACAGTATCTGTGAGTTAAAATGGCCGCCATCCATTGTTCTCACCATGTGCTTCATCCATTGTTCTCACCATATGCCTCTGATACAGGAAATGGTGGCCACCCAGTAACTCCACAGTATGTCCCCAGATGGTTCTTAAAGGGCAGCACAACACAAATCCATTATGCCCAAATCATGTCTTTAAAGGGCAATACATCCCAGGGGCCATAGTCACATGGCAAGAGGCTGGCAATCAGTCTTCTCCAATGCCCAGTGGTGAGGTCGGTTTCGCCACACATATTGTAGAACATATTGTATATGAAGGCCCGTCCATTTCCTGACGGCCTTGCTAAGGATATTGACAAAGGAGACTTGAGTGCCCGCCAAGAGTTGAAAATTTGTGCCTGTTACATGGCAGAGTGGGATGTTACAGAGACTAGGAAGATCTGGTGTTTTGGCCCTGACGGTACTGGACCAAACATCCTGACTGATGTGACAAAAGGAGTACAATATCTTAACAAAATAAAATACAGTGTTGTGGCTGGCTTCCAGTGGGCCACAAAAGAGTGTGTTCTCTGTGAAGAGAACTTGAGAGCTGTACAATTTGATGTTCATGATGTGACTCTTCATACTGGTGCCATTCATAGAGGTGGTGGACAAATCATTCCTACAGCCCATCGTTGCCTATATGCATATGTGTTGACAGCCAAGCCCCGTCTGATGGAACCAATCTATCTTGTGGAGATTGAGTGCCCTGAGCAGATAGTTGGAGGCATTTATGGTGTCTTGAACAGAAAGCGTGGACACATCTTTGAAGAATCTCAAGTGGCAGGCACACCAATGTTTATAGTGGAAGACTATCTGCCAGTCAATGAATCATTTGGGTTCACTGCAGACCTAAGATCAAACACTGGTGGCCAGGCCTTCCCACAGTGTGTATTTGATCATTGGCAAATTCTTCCTGGAGATTCATTTGACAATGCCACCAGTCCAAGCCTAGTTGTGGCCGAAACCGACAAGAGGAAGGGTCTGAAGGAAACTGTTCAAGCTTTGGATAACTTCTTGGACAAGCTGTGATTTTCCCATCTGTTCTCTGCCCAACACCATGACTGGCTTAGGGAAATGGACTCTAAACTTTTTGGGTGATGACTTTTTTTTTTTTTTTAAAAGAAGCTTACCCTTTACCTTCCTATTGTACTAAAGTGAGACATCCCCATAACATTCCTCTTGATGTTTCACTGTAGTTTTGGGAAGACGATTTATTATATTTTGTGAGCTCTCCTTATCTTGTATCTGGGGTAGCTCATGAAATTGCAGTCTTCTGATGGGGTGGTTGGTGCCAGACAATAAGTTGTAATACTGCGCAGTCACGGCATGAATATAAACAACGAATTAGAGCGAATTAAAGAAAACGTGTATTTGAAAAAAACAGGAAAAGAGAAGAAATAATAAGAAAATAAAAATATAAAATAGTTTAAAGGAATTTGGCACAAACCTTGGTATATTGTCCAAAAAAGGTTCCGTTATTATACATACAAAGTAAATAAAACATCCAATAATGCTTTTCACCACTAAGGCTTCATCAAAATTGGGTAAGAACAAACATCCTGGCTTACTGAGTATATATAGGTGAAAGCTAATTAAAATTGGCACCAAAAATGGCATCATAGGTAGGCAGCCAATCAGAAAAATAGCTTAATACAAACTTGAAGTGTTTCAAATATGAATGAAACAGATGAAACTTTATAAAATGAGGATTGTTATTAAATTAAAATGATATTAATAACGAATTTTGTGGGATTTATAGAGTTTGATAGACTTTCGTTTTAATTAATGGCTGCTTGTGATCAGCAGCAATGCTAAATGGGAAATGTAGTGCCGAACGGGAGTCGTGAGTGCGCATGCGTGCGAACTGCACTCCCGTGGCATTCAACTAGTTCCGTGAGCTTTCAACAGTTTCTGTCATTCGGCAGTTCAGTCGGCTAAATCCGTGGTTCAGTATTTAGTTCAAACTTCTAAACTGCCGAACGGGGGATAGAAGTCATATTCGTGCGGCTATTAAATGAATAGGAAATACAAATAGGTGTTCATTCAGCGGAAAAATTGCACGAATTGGGTAATAGGGTATAAAAATAAATTTTAGCCATAATAAAAATACACACTTTTAAATAAAAACAAGCCATCATAGGATATATAAATAAATAAATAAAAACAAGCAATAAACTTATATATAATTTATAATGAAGGATCTAGTATAGACATAATGACCTTAAAGTGCCAAGTGATATGTTTTGTGGGTGGGTTGCTGGACAGGAGGCCAGATACCTTGTTAGTCTTTTTGGGAAAGGGGAGAAATGTGGCGGAACCAGCCTCGCCACTGGGCATTGGAGAAGACTGATTGCCAGCCTCCTGCCCTGTGACTATGGCCCCATGAAGAAATGCTTGATTTTCCCCTGCAAAGACCCGAAAGCCAGGTCATTTGGTACTTTCCCTATGTGAGCAGTGTTACCTCAGATAGCTATGCCATGGAGCCCATTCGTATAACGAAAGACTATGTGAAAGACTTTGGCTCCATGGCAATTGAACTTTATGAATGTGATCTGAGCGCCATTCAGTAATAATGTGCGCTCAGATCTAAGCTATCTGGGGATATGTTGAATGTACCTGTTTTATGCAATAGCTGCACAGTTATATATTTTTATGTATTTTATTGTATTTTGCTACCATGTGGCTAATGAAGTTTTGCCTTTGTCCTTGGAGATAATTGGATTACTTCCCAATTATCTCCAGGACAGAGAGGAGGGATTATAATGCATTGTGTGAGTATTTAAATGTATAAGCTTGTGATTGGTTAATGTCCAATATGTATCCCAGTTTCCCATCTGGTCCCCTAGGGGAGTGTCAACCAGGTAGGAGACCTGCATAAAAGCCAGTTCTACTTCACCCTCAATTTGGAGTGTCGTCTCTTATTGGGGGAACCTGATACAAGGGATTGCTATGCTCTGCATACTCTCTTGCTATATTCTTGTAAGAGTGTGTTCCTGTTTTTGCTCTCTGAAGGAGTCTCCGGTGGTTATGGTGTCTGCTGGAGTGCTGAAAACCCTCAGGAAGCGCTAGGAGCATCCTTCAACGTAGGTACCCAGTCGGGGTGCCAGGTGATCCGTTACATGTCTTTTATGGCAATGGGTGATTGTATGTCTGTGTATGTGACAGTGCATGTGTATGTGTTTGTGTGTATGTGACTGTGAGTGTGTCCATATTTGTATGTGAGTGCATGTATGGTTGCATGTCTGTGTGTGTATGTATGCTTGCACTGTCAATGTATGTGCAGGAACAAAAGAGGGTTAGATAGTTAAAAACAGACAAGAGGCAAAGTAGATTAAGAGATACACAATATGGTGAAAAGGATTAAGAGACACATAGGGTTGAAAGGGGAGATTAGGGACAAGAAAGGTCAGGAGATACACACTTAGCCCCCTGTCTGTCATTTTTATAAACTGTCTTTTTGTACCCGACAGTCAGTAGAAGAAAAAAAATATCCAAAGAAATGGAGAAATGAAACATTTTTTTTCTATTTCTCCTCCTTATTTTCAGCATTTACTTTGGCTTTGCCTTGTCTCAATTGAATTAAGATGCAATTTGTAAAAAAAAATTAACCCCTTCAGGACCAGACTGTTTTGGCCATATTGTACGTTAAGGACCGTAGCTGTTTTAACACTTTTTTGGTGTTTGTGTATACCTGTAATTTTCCTCTCTCTAATTTACTGTTCCCATACAAATCATATATTGTCTTTTTTAGGACAAGAAGAGCTTTCACTACATACCATTATTTGTATCATGTCATATAATTTACTTTAAAAAAATAAATAAAATATGGTGAAAATTTTAAAAAACAAATATAGTTTTTGACTTTAACTTGAAAAATATTTTATTTATCTACATAAGATAATGAAAAAAACTGCTAAATAGATTCAAAAGTTTGTCCTGAGTTTAAAGGAACACTATAGTCACTAAAACAAATTTAGCTTAATGTAGCAGTTTTAGTGTATGTATTATGCCTCTGAATTTTCACTGCTCAATTCATTGCCATTTATGGGTTAAAACACTTTGTTTCTGTTTATGCAGCCTTTGCCACACCTACCCCGGCTCTGATTGACATAACCTGCATGAAAAAAAATAGTTTCACTTTCAATCAGATGTAAAATACCTTAAAAAGATTTTATCTCCTGCTCTGTAAATTGAACTTTAATTACATACAGGAAGCTCCTTCTGGGTCTAGCAAGCTATTAACAGAGCAGGAGATAAGAAAATCTAAATTAAACAGAATTTGTAATAAAGGAAGGATAAATATTAGATTACTCTTTACAGGAAGTGTTTAAGAAGGTTGTGCAAGTCACATGCAGAGAGGTGTGACTAGGGTGCATAAACAATGTGATTTAACTCCCAAATGGCAGAGAATTGAGCAGTGAGACTGCAGGTGCATGATCTATACACCAAAATGGCTTCATTAAGCTAAAGTTGTTTTGGTGACTATAGTGTCCCTTTAAAAATACCCAGTGTTTACGTGCTTTTTTTTTTAGATATATACCGTATATACTCGAGTATAAGTCGACCCGAATATAAGTCGAGACCCCTATTTTACCCAAAAATACTGGGAAAACTTATTGACTCGAGTAGAAGACTAGGGTGGCAGCTACTGGTAAATTTCTAAATAAAATTAGATCCCCCAAAAATTATATTAATTGAATATTTATTTACAGTGTGTGTATATAATGAATGCAGTGTGTGTATGTATGAATGCAGTGTGTGTATGAGTGCAGTGTGTGTGTATGTGATGCAGAGCCTTGGTGGGGGGGTGGGCATTTTTATTATTTTTTTTTATTATTATTATTATCTTAATATTTTTTTTTACTCTCACTCCCTGGTGGTCTAGTGGCATGGGCTGTGTAGGAGGGGGCTGGCAGAGAGCTGTAACTTACCTTTCCTGCAGCTCCTGTCAGCTCCCTTCTCTCTCCTCTGGTCTGGTCAGCTCCCCTGTCAGCTCCCACTGCAAGTCTCGCGGTGTGAGTGCCGTGCGGAGCATTGCCACAGTAACCCTTGGCAACACTCTGACCCCGCGGCTCTCGCGAGACTTGCAGTGGAGCTGACAGGGGAGCTGACCGGGCCGGAGGAGAGAGAAGGGAGCTGACAAGAGCTGCAGGAAAGGTAAGTTACAGCTCTCTGCCAGCCCCCAACAGGACCGCCAGGCTTGTAATGAGCCTGGCGGTCCTGTTGGGGGCTGGCAGTGAGCTTTAACTTACCTTTCCTTCATGCTGTCAGGGCCACCCGATGGATATGGATTATCAGGGGGACCAGTCAGATAACAGCGCGACCGGGACCCCTGTGAGTACTAACACTGAGAGCCGCACGGGAGGAAGGAGGAGGAGGGAATCAGAGTGGGAGCTCTGACTCCCATCAGGCTGAGCCCCCAGGGAAAGTCACAAGGTAGGAAACATTTTGCATATGTATGTCTCTGTATGTGTCTGTGTCTCTACATATGTGTGTGTGTCTGTGTCTCTGTATGTATGTGTCTGTGTGTGTGTGTCTCTGTCTCTGTATGTATGTGTGTGTGTGTCTCTATATGTGTCTGTCTCTCTGTATGTGTGTCTGTGTCTCTGTATTTATGTGTGTGTGTGTCTGTATGTATTGTGTGTCTGTGTCTCTGTGTGTGTGTGTCTCTGTCTCTGTATGTGTGTGTCTGTCTCTGTGTGTGTGTGTCTGTATCTCTACGTATGTGTGTGTGTCTGTGTCTCTGTATGTGTGTGTCTGTATGTGTGTGTCTGTATGTGTGTGTGTCTCTGTGTGTGTGTGTATGTGTGTTTGTCTGTGTCTCTGGATGTGTGTGTATGTATGTGTGTGTGTCTGTGTGTATGTTTGTGTGTGTGTGTCTGTATGTATGTGTTGGTGGGTATGGGGGGGCATGGATCGGGGGAGAGAGGGGAAGTGGGGGGTGGAAGATGTAACTCAATGTAAACTTACATAATGCCATAATACATCTAACACCTAAGAAATATAATCCCTTAATCATTAATAGGCCATGACTTAGAAAAAAAAAGAAGAAAAACTTTAGCAGCCTAATAATATATATATATATATATACATTACACAATAGTGCCACCAATATTATACAATACAACTATATAGCTTGTAGCTTCCATAAACCATGTACGTAAAGTGCAATATGTGAGCACATAGACCATGTGGGTAAAGGTGTTTAGAAAAAGAAAAAAATAACACCTTAGACACACCCAGGTAAAAACTATATCTTGGACTGGTAGGGAGTCCTTGAGGACTGGGTTGAGAACCCCTTCTCTAGACCAAGCATTTCAAACTCAAAAGCTAACACAGGCCAAATAAACTAGGTTTACGTTTA